GGGACGGGGAGGGAGGGGGAGGAAAGAGAGCCGCAGGAAGCGCGCCCTCCGGAGCTCTCGCGGGTCGTCTCGTCGTCGTCGTCTTTTCTTACGCGCGCCCTCTGCGATAGGGAGCGTGGGAGGAAGGTGAAAAGTTGGCGGACATGTCTCACGCCATGACACTCCCGGAGCGCGGGAGCTGATAGCCGTCTGCTGCTCGGTATCGGTGGGGTGGAACGAGCGCGGAGGGGTGGAGTTCTTTTCTGTATTAAAAACTGTGATTTTTTTTTCTTTTTCGTAATCTTAAATCGTAAATCTTTTTTTTTTTTTGTTATTTAAAGTCGCATTAACTTATAGGTCATTAGCGACCACTATTGCGTGTAACGGAATGGTTACTGTGAGGATTACACGATGTGATGATAGTAGGTGAAAGGACGAACACAATACAACCATGCCCGAGGCGAGACTCGAACCCGTGATCCTTCGGCACTCCTGCCTTAGCAATCTCAGCCATCGGGATCGGCATCGTAATTTAATGTAATAAGAAATTTACACGTAAGTTTTCGCGGCTTGAATTCATGAGTTCTTGGCTGCCCGGGTGGCGCCGCGTCGGTGGCTGAGAGGCCGACGTTTCGCCTGTCATGTCGCAGGCTTCCTCAGGGTATTGAGGCCTCCGGCATGACTGGCGAAATGCCGGCATCTCAGCCAACGACGCGACGTCGCCCGGAGAGTCAACAACTAATAAGAAATTGTTTCACCCGATTTGTCGTTAACGAGTGAACCAACAACCTAGTTCAAAACTTCTTCGTATAATTTCGGACGATTCTAGTTCATATTGTCAAGGACATACATGTAAGCAATGTTTAAACATGTGATTGCGTAGTATTCCGCGGCTGGAGTTTGCATTGTCACGGATATCCGGGCCGAGCCGCGTTTCTGACGTTTCGGCCAACACGTTGTGGCCTTCCTCAGAGCGCACTGCTGAGTGTACAGTGGTCCCTTAGTAGTGAAAAAGCAACTTTAATTAACTGAAATAAAAAAAGAAGAGAGATTGAGGAAGGAAGTACTCACTGAGCAGGTCGAACTGCGGCAGCCATCGCTCGACGCGCACGTTGGGCGGCGCGGAGGGCAGCGGGTCACGTGACTTGATGATGACGCGCTGCGGCAGTGCGCCCAGCGCCCCCCAGAGCGCGCGCAGGCGCTCGTCCGCCCACGTGCTGACGCGCACCATCGTGCCCAGCGAAAACACCACCACGCCCGCCTCCGCCTCGCTCACGTACCGCTCCAGCTCCTGCGCGCGCACACACGAGCGCACCACCCACGCGCGTTAGCTCTAGCGTTGCCAAGTGTTGGCAAAAAAGGGCCCACGCGCTCGATAGCGTTAGCTCTAGCTTTTCCAAGCTTGAGCAAAAGGAGCCCATTTCTTCGTTTCTAATACAAAATGTGCTTTAAATGGATTCAGATATTTCTTATTCTGTTTGTCAATAACATATGATTCTACGTTATCACAATTAAATCTGGGTAATAACATTCAAGTTGTTTTTTTTTTAATTACGATATTTTCGTGCATGGGAACTTTTTGGACCGTGGTTGATAAAACCTGAGACCAAAATATATGAAGGCAACTGATTTACTTTGGCAACACTGTAGTTGTCGTCATTAATTATCAAAGCAATACAATTCATCTGTTTGTGCTTCTGGGTTGTATTTGTAAAAGACACTCAATAACAATTTTTATTTGGCTGTCCGGGAGATGTCGCGTCCATGGCGAAGGTGCCGACATTTCGGTCGCCATTATGCGACCTTCCTGAGGGCATAATGCATGACGTAGGGCGTAGGGAATTACGCCCTGAGGAAGTTCGCAGAATGGCGACCGAAACGTCGGCACCTTCTCCATGGAAGCGGCATCTCCCGGACAGCCAAATAAAAATTGTTATTAAATGTCTTTTACAAATACAACCCAGAAGCACAAACCATTGTCACCACTGTCCATCCGGACAGACAAGTTAATACTGACTCCGGCCGCGGAAGCCTACGATCTCATTCAAAAACCAAGTTTCGTGAATTGACGAACAATGAACAGTGATGTCGAGTGATTATGAACATTCCAACGTAACAATATACAACAAGATTATCCTACACTTATTGTAATTACCTGAATTGTTATGTAACAAATTGGGGTTATCATTAGTTGGATGGAGGTTAAAAAAATAGTATATAAAATGTTCATTTATAGAATTATTGAAGAAAAATTGAAACATAATTTGATTTACTCTTTTAATAGATTTTAAATATTTTCTACTCAGGATAAAAGTTGATTGCTGTCAAAAATCTGGCATTTCATCAACTTAATGAAGTGAATGCACAGTGGTGTTGCAGACACCTCTTTCCATGTTCGAATGCGTTCTTGACTCGCGCCTCGCGCTATGCAAGCAGTCCATTGACGCGAGAGCTCGCAGCCACTTGATTCCGTATGCATGAGAGGAAATGCATTCCTATGCGCTGCCAGACACGGTGAAATTGTGTGCACAGCACCGCTTGATTGTCAGTTTAATACATTTCATTTCCGTTTTTGAGAGAAGGGAAAAGATAATAAAATGTACGTGTTGTGTCATGTGATTTCTTGGGTGTACCCCAAGATGTCAGAAAATGAGTTATGCACGAGAAAGTAAAAATTAAAAATAAAATGAACATTGCTTTTAATTTAAGAAGAATATGGTCGCATTTAATTATAGTTTATTTGGGACTAATTACTTCATTTTAATTAAATTTACATTTATCTATAGGTATGTTAACAACCATGACAATCCTGCGTTACATGTAACAATTTTATGTAGAGATCAGTAGATGTGTACTTTTTAAATACTGAATGAATTTGAAAGCTTTTTAGTCATCTATTGAAGTAACTAACTTGGTTTTCTGAACAGTATTGAAAATTCTATTGTGGGGGTCTGTTGACTTTACTCGTCTGACTACATTGGAAACTAACTTCAACTAAAATTAGCAAACTACGGACCGCTTAGCGCCAGAAACATCTGCACCTTCCGAGTCGACCCCATCGTTCCCCACTGCAGGCATTCCATTAAACAACGGACTCGTTTCCGAAAATAAAACGTTCGCCAACGGCCGCATTTTGATGTCTTCCCGGAGGTCGTAAAGCGAGGAGGGGGGAGGTGCAGAACCTGTCTGAAGAATTTCGCTCCCCGAGGGGCATCAATCATTAGCTAAACAATTAATTTCCGGACGTCAGTCACGGCGTTAGTTCTCCGCCCCTCTCCAGGGGCCACTGCAATCTGCGGGCGAGGCGGGGAGTGGCGGGGGAGTCAAAAGCACAGAACACCCTGCGAGACGGCCCAAGGACGGGCGGGCGGGGCGGTCACCGCCTGGCAGCTCCTTTTCTGCATTCAACGCGTTGATTGACAAAATACGAGAAATGGTGTACGAAAATAAATTTTTACTTTCTGGCATATGTGGTATGGTACAGTATTCAGCATTAATACGAGTACGTGCGGTTGTGGCTGTGTTATGCTATAAAGAAGATCAAATGGCCTTTTTTCTTTAAAGGGTGTTAGAAAATATTAGTTATTTGACATAGAGTGATCTGTTACAAGTAGGTTGGTGAAGACAGATAAGCTAAAGAAGTCTGAAGTATTAGAGTGATATGTTACAAGAAACTTCGTGAAAACATATTCGTAAAAGAAGTCCGAAGAATCAGTTTTTATGTTACAAACTTTTGTATTCTACGTAACCTTTACAATAATACCGCTAACACTGTGGTTTGGGTTAGCAACACAAGTATTTTAAAATAATTACGATATTGGTAAAACTTCCTATACAACACATACAATGAATAAAGTCTTATGTTATTATATCAAAACGATATTCTTCACAAATTTTATATCAAAGAATTAAAGAAACAAAACTTACAGATAATCCCCCTTTTAAATGCGTGATGAACCAGCTATTGTTTTCCTTTCAATATACATTCATTCTGCAAGTGCAGAGTTATGCAATGAAGAAATTTAGACTACGTTTTAATAGGGTTTATTAGTGTTAATTATTGAATTTGACGAGTAATTCTTTATATTATTGTACTTCTTTAATTCATTCATATTTACTCTGTTTATCAATTACTATTATTGTATTCAATCTGTACGTTTTTGCAGATACAGAAACAGAATATTTTTCTCTCTCCTTTGTACGCATCTCAATTCCAGGACAGTGTAAATTCGTACTCTCATGTCTCCATGTAAAATGCAGTGGCTGAATTATTAGTATTATATATCTACAGTGTCATTGTCGGCAGAGTTTCATGAACTGCACCGGTGTTGTTCAATAATTATTTGAATATGAAATTAGATGTGTTTGTATTGCACGTTGAACCTTGTATCTAACTATAAATATACTATCTATCTATGAGTATTAATATTAGAGAAGTGCGTAGCAGTGTGATGATGCACTGAAGTTTGATATCTTTACGTACCTCAGGCAACGGCTTTGGTTCTCCTATATGTAGACCACCAACTTCCACCACACCTGGTACCATGGGACGAGGCTGGTTGATACTGTAGTGAGTGTTGACCAGTATCAGACTGGTATTTTGCACCAGCTCTGTAGTGCTCGGGAGATCTGGTCCAAAGTACCTGAAAATATTTTCTTTATAAATAATGACTATGAAATTTACTACGTAATTTACATTTCGACATATTATCACTTGCAATGTATGTGCAAATTTGCTATGTATAACTTTCATATAATTAATAGCGTCTATTCTGTGAAGTCAATACACAATGTTTAAAGAAATAATGAGATTTTTTTAATTAAAATGAACTTGAAGTGCTTTTCAGAACATTGTAGGACTGAGATGAGTGCTACTCGTAGTTGATTATTTACATAACTGTTGATTCAGAGACGACATTCATTAAGAGCTGCAGCTTGTTTCTGCTACCGTCTAAAGTGATATATAGGCACGTACTGAAAAATTAATTTTGTAATTCTACCTTTCAGTCCTCAACTACGGATAAACCCGAGCTCACATGATTATTACAAAAAAATATGTACAAAATATAAATAGCTAATATTAATATTTTATAACCACAATGTTGCGTAATTAATATTATATAATTTAATTTAAGTAATATAACAGCTGCTTGAGAGAGATTGAGGGACTGTTGAATGAGTAAAATTTATCAGATTAGAATTATGAAGTTCGGGACAAGTGGAAATATAAAATTAAAGTTATACAATGTATTAGAATTTTCGGGTAACATTAAGTTATTTTAACAATGTAAAACTGTGAAATAAATAAATTATTTAAATATTTAATGATACTCACCAATTTAAATAATCAAGTGAGATATAATATTAATGTTATTTCTCCAAATGCCTTTTTGGCCTAATATTAAACATATTTTAATACAAGCATGCGTCGAACCGGAGCCGACCTGGATGGTCTAGGTGGCTAAGAGCGTGCACTGACTCAGCGTTTCGGTCTGAACATTCGGCATGGTTGTCTGTCCCTTGTCTCTCCTACAAGTGTTGTCGAGGAGGGCCTGGCGTTCTGCTGATCCCAGATGCGAGGAGACCGAGAGTGTGTTGGTGTTAAGTGTGTGGTGAAATATGCGTTCCCTCCGGACTTATGGTTATTCGGCAGTCGGCTGGATAAAAAGCCCTACAAAACAAATATATGTCGGCTCGCGACAGGTGGATGGGCATCCTTCATCAATTAATATACTCTTATTACAAGTATCGGTTCTTCAATCCGCATCAATTTCTTCTAAAATTGTTCATAACTGAGGAAGCACATTCACAACTTTTTGTTTCACAGAAACGAGATCTAGACACTTGGAAGAACGCCTCGGAAGAATGATACAACGAAGTATTGAAGAAAATGTAGATTGGAGCTTATTAAAAAAGTCGATAAATACAAAGTTCGTCTTCTTTTTAGTAGTAAACGTCATTACTGTTAACTATTGACAAAATTGCTTAAAGCATTTATCCTGTGTCAATTAACCAAATTAATTATGTTCATTGTTTATTGCTGTGGATTTATCTTCATTTCGTATTAATGGTGACTATGGAACGAGTATTTATATGTTCTTTAGCTTGATATTGCTAACACATAGAAAAATTACTCAGCAGAACTATTTTATCAAATAATTTTTTTTGAATTATTTTCTCTCTTGAGGTAAGTTTATAAAAACCACCCGTGACATAAGAATTCCGATATTAAAAATGTATGATTAAATTTGTTCAAAAAATGGGTCTCTCCGAACAGATTCGAACCCGGGCCTCCTGGTTTACCCCCGGGTATTCTAATCACTTAGCAACCAATCCTTTGAATACACCCATTAAAAATGTATCAACCAATTTACCTGTATTTTGTAAATTGGTTGAGAACCGCGTTCTTGCCTTACCTGCGCGCCAGCGCGTCGGTGGGGCGGTCGCAGAGGAGGTACTTGAGCCTCCTGACCGCCCAGCCGTGGAAGGAGTTGGCGAGCCGCTGCCAGAACGTCATGCGCTCCGTGTAGGGCAGGAAGTAGTTGGCGGTGTAGGCCGGATGGTCGGGGTTGCCCATGCGGTCGAGCGCCCCAGGCGGCGCCACGCTGCTGATGAGCCCCACCAGCGGCGCGCGGAACTTGTGCGCGAAGCCCGCCATGCACTCGGCGCCGAACACCTCCGACACGACCAGGTCGTAGCGCTCGTTGGACTCGAGCAGCTTGCGCGTCGCCGGGTGCTCCATCGCCTTGGAGCACACGTCCAGCGTCTCGGCCCACAGCAGCGTGGCGACGGACAGCGGGTTCGCGTACGACGCGATGAGGTCCATGTCCACGTTGTCCACCCACGACTCGTACGAGCCCTTGATGGACAGGTCGCGGTACGTCGGCGGAGGGTTTTCCGCCGGGAAGTGGCTGAGGACGTGGACGGTGTGGCCTCGCAAGGCCAGGGCGCGGAACAGCGGCGCGTACATGACGTTGTGGCTGTGCGAGTTGTACGGGATCACCGCCAGGATGCGCGCCGGGCGCTCGGCGAGAGCGGGAGTCGCTGGGGCTGGCACCTCTTGCTTGACTACCTTCGCGTCGTTCGAGCTGGCGGTCTGCGAGGGTCCTTTAGCGGCCGCTGGCTTTGACGGATCTGCAGGTTTCGCTGTCGCTGGTTTGGCTGGCTCTGCGGGTTTCGTGGCTGCTGGTTTCACAGGCTCTGCAGGTTTCGTTGCTGCGGGTTTAGTTGGTTCTGCAGGCTTTTTGGCTGCCGGTTTGGCTGGTTCTGCAGATTTCGTGGCAGCTGGTTTGGCTGGTTCTGCAGGTTTCGTGGCTGCTGGTTTAGCTGGCTCTGCAGGCTTTGTGGCCGCCGGTTTAGCTGGCTCTGAGGGTTTCGTGGCTGCTGGTTGCATCCTGGCGGTTCCGGCCGCACTGTTTGGTTTGCGCTGCAGTTTCGTGGCTGCCGGTTTGCTGCTCTGCAGGTTCGTGCGCCGCGTTTAAGCTGGCTCTGCAGGTTTCCGCGTCCGCTTGGTTTGGTTTGCTCTGCAGTTTCGTGGCTGCCGGTTGACTGGGCTCTGCAGGTTTTGTGGCAGCTTGGTTTTGCTGGCTCTCAGGTTTCGTGGCCCTGGCCTTCGACGGCTCTGCAGTTTCTGGCCGCTTTGGTTTGGTTTGCTCTGTAGGTTTCGTGGCTGCCGGTTTGCGCTGGCTCTTGCAGGTTGCTGACAGCTGGTTTGACTAGGCTCTGCGGGTTTAGTGCTGCTGCGTTTGCAGCTTCTGCGCGGTTTAGTGGCTGCTGTTTGGCAGGCACTGATCTATCGTTTACACGCTACTAGGTTGTCAGGACTCTGGCAGTTTTATCGCGGCTTGCCTATGTTTGCTGCTCCGCACGGTCTTACACATGCGTTAGCCGCGCTGTTTGCGCTCTCTAACAGGGACTTCTCTGCACCTTTCAGCAGACCTACCTTTAGAAGCACCGTTTACCGCCTGGCCAGCTGCTTTGGAAGCTTCAGCCCAGTTCAACAGCTTCTGACAGGTTTCATGCGTCTCGGCCGTCTCTGCAGCGTTCTGCTGGATTGCACATACAATTGGTTTCCTATATCTTCTGAGGGATAGTGTTGGGCAGCAGTGCGGCTTTTCTAAAAGTATCAACTTTCATATATTCTGCATTTACCAACGTTGCGCGTCCCCAACATTGCTCAGTTTACCTAGTGCCCGCCTATCTGCTCCCTGCAACCTTCTGTCACACCAACTCCGATCTCCCAGAACCCATTACCACACCAACCTTTGTTCCTTGCTCTACTTCCACCTACCAACCCGAACCGCACTTCACCCCACCGCTCGCTTCTTCCTCCTACCCCCCCTTCCACCACACAATTAGCTGTCCCCGACCGATTTTCTGTACCCTCCTTGCCCACACTCTGCTCCCCACACCCGCCGCTCATATCCACACCGCACATTATCCCTCTCTATGTTCTTGTCGTCGCGCCATCCTGACTCCGCCACAGACTCTGTCGTGCCATCCAGGTACTCCGCTCGGCCTACACTCCAACCTATCCCCCGCCCACAGATTCCCCGCCGCAGACTCCCGCCCGCAGCTCTCCGCCGCCAGACTCGCCTCACTCAGATCTCCCCGTCCACAGACTCCTCCCGCCACAGACTTCCTCCCCTACGACTCCCCTGCAAACCAACTCCCCGCCATCAGACTCCCGCCACAGACTACCCCCGCCCCCCACAGACTCTCCCTCCACAGTACTACCGCACCCCCGCCACCCCCCCCTACGAACCCGCCACAGACCTCTCTCACAGACTCCCCGCACAGACTCCCCGCCGCTCAGACTCTCTCGCCATCAGTCCACCCGCCACCATGCGACTCGCCCCGTCCAACTAGACTTCCCCGCCCACACTCCTCCGCCACACCACTCTCCCCGCCACCCCCCCATTCACACTCCCGCCAACTACTTCCCGCCACAGCCGCCCACCAGACTCCCCGCCCACTCACATCATCCTGAAAAACGCCAAACACGCCACAAAATCGCCTACATTCCCGCCCACCGCATCTCTCCCCCTCTCCCCCGCCATCTCGATCCATCCCTCCCAACATCCCTACTCTCGCCGACCCACCTCCTCTGTTCTATTTACCCTCCCCTTTGTCTTACATCTCACCACACCCCGCTCCCGCTACCTCTCCCCAACCATTACCTCTACACCACCTCCCCCCAACCCGTCACGCCCCATCCACCAGGCCTCATTCTCCTCCCACCCCAGCCCGCTCGTTCTCCCTGCGACAACTCACCCCTCCTGAAGCGGCCGCCAGGCCTCCCGGGGAGCCCGTCTCCCGCGCGAACGCCAGTCCCGGCGCGGCGCTCAAGCCCGAGCGCAGGGGCGCCACCGCCGCCGCCGCCAGCGCCGCCAGCCACAGCAGCCGCAGCCTCGCCGTCAACATCTGCAACCGCACAAGGCGTAGGGCGCACTTTCAGACTGGCGACTCTCCCAAACAGGAGGGTAAAATGCATATCCGTTTCGTATTGGATCGCAATACCTACGAAGCCGGAATTGTTTCAACAGCGACTAAGAGTGAAGAAATATATTATCGCTTGTCATCTTATTTCTTATATATAATTGTCACCATTCCCGTCACCTTGTTGGACGCAATTACGCTCGGAGAATATGTTATAAACATATACAAGGAGCGATAACTGCGCTCATGAACACTGTTCAAAGGATTGATTGTCGCGGTAGATTAGTGGTTAGAGCAACTGGGCCTAAACTAGAATGCCCGGGCTTGAATTTCTGTCGGGGCAACCAGTTCTTTGAACAAATTTCTTATTGTTGTTATAAATATTCTAATATTTTTTAACAAAAACTTTAATACTTTTTTTCAATAATTTAGTATAGTTAACGTTTTGAACCTAGTTGGCATATATATGAAAAATTGTATCTAGGGTCCAATATTGTAAAAATACCTTTCAAAACTATTCGCTGGAATTTCGTATACAAGTTGTCAATATTAAATTCATTAAAATAAAACACTACATCCTGGAAGCTAGAAAGAATTTTTGAAAGAGACTTCAATAAAGGCAGATACGTTAAAGAAAATGAATGATAAAATGAAGTGTGTCTGATTTGAAAGAAAGATCTGATGAAAATGATAGTGTGTCTGATTTGAAAGAAAGATCAAAATCAGAATAAAATATGAAAGATATGTTTTTTGTAGAACTAATGTACATAGTTTATATAGGTTTACTCAGGCGGACTTCAAGAGGGTCGAGACTCAAACGCATAGGAAATTAGAAAAATATTTTAGGGTCAACCGAAACGTAATTGGAATCATCAATCTATGAATGGGAATTTAAAAACATAAATACAATCCTGTAATCAAGTAATTAGAATCGGCGATGAAAAGAAAGAAAAACGAATGTTCAATTACCATGATACAAAAGAAATGAAACGAGAAGACGAAATTAGAAACAATATATTAATGACCAATGAAAGAAAGAAATGAAACAGGATGTAGTTAAGTGGAGGTTGAGTTGAATGTGTTGATAGCATAGGCTCTTTGTCGAGAGTCTGACGCACTCCTTGTGCTCTCCTATGCATATTTTCAGAAGAGATCAGATATAGTAAGAAAAGATATGAACAAAGTGGCATAATATCACTTTAATTTTTTTCCTTCTTTTCACCCGATAAGCGACAACTTTCAAAAATCAGATATCTTAATCTTCATGACTATTACAGAATAAAGAGTTTAGATATTTCAATTTAGTATACGTCTTCAATCACATCTTACCTTACTTCATTTTTTTCGACCGCGAGAAAATTCGTGTTATTCGTTCCATATCTTCGCTGTAACAACTGAAATCCGTTCTCAACCCAAACACTGGGAGAAATTACGGCCCCCGACTGTACTCCCGCTTCGCGCGTGGCCCACAACACCGGAAGCACTTGGAGAACGGCGGTGTTCGGAAGCGTGTGGTATGGAAATCGGCGGCGAAAAGGGCCTCAAATTACGCAACGCGGCCGGCCTAAATGCGGGTTCTTGTAAAAATATTAATATATCGAGCGGGGGCCGTGTGGGGCTCCGGGTTTTATTACGACGGGCGCCTGGTAGACGGAGCTCGCTGGCGAGCCGAGTCGTAAACCCAGCGCTGCCCTGCTCGCGAGAGCCACGCCACGCCTCGGCGCAGTGAACTCTCAATGGGGCCGGCTTGAACGGCCTGGGTGGCTCAGGGAATCAATTGATGTCGTTGCAGGGTGTCTGTCCGGGAGGTCGTATGGTTCCAGCCCCGACGGTTTTCGCCACTAGGTAGATTGGTGGAATTCAGTCGCTGTCTGGAGGAAAAATTTAGCGACCGGCTGCTCTGATTGGTAGTTTTCCGTGGTTTCTCCGATCAACTCCAGGCAAATGTTGGAGCAGTTACCTAGCAAACGGGTTACGGATCGCGCGCGGTCTTTCCTTCCTCTTTCTAATCCCAGACTCACACCTTACTTACACACACACTTACCGGCACAACATTACCACACATGTCTGGAGCTTAGAGCTTGTCCCGGCGGGGACGGTGCCCTGTTCTTGGAAGATACTTGGCGAGGGAAACCCCGTGACGTGTAATTCGGGCTATCTAAGGGACTTACCACTTAAAGGTACTAATTACTTTAGCAGTTAATGTGGCCGCAAACACCAATCAATTAATTCACTGCCAATGTCATTGCATTGTCTGATGAGTACCGCTCTCATTTCTGTGAGAAAACGAGGACGGATTCTAACGGTTTTATTTCATCTCCTTTCCATGTCGGGTTTTGTCAATGGTGGTTTGTCTTTTTCTTTATTGTACCAACTATTTTTCATTGTACTAAGGATGTCTATCAATGTGGTTTGTGAGCTCGCAAATTCAGAGCCCGTCGGTTTAATAAAAGAAAGCCAGATTTTACCAGTCTGAGCCCTGACCGCAGTAGTTCATATGCCCATTACGCCACATGAATGACATCTTCCCACATTAATTTATTACGAATATATTTATTAGAAATATGTTATTAGGAATATATTGTTAGGAATATATTATTAGGAATATATTTATTGGAAATAAAGGAAGGTATTTTGCTTCAGAGTTGATACATAGTGTTAAGGTTGTCTTGGCCCGTCTACAGACCTCCGCACCCCGGCTAAGATAGAGCTTCAAGTAAACAGCGTGATTACTTACGACGATATTATTCGTACGCTCGTGTGGTTCTAAATTTAGACATTTTCCGGAACCAAAGTGAACCAAAGTAAGATCGTCGGTTTAATAGAGGGGAGCTAGATTCTCATGCAATTACCCGTATTTTCATTGCGTCACACACATTATAATAGACTCACATCAATGTATCCAGGTAGGGAAGGGAATAAGGATTTCGGATTTCGAGGTTGTGTTTGGTGTATTAGGAATGATACATAGCGTGCCCCAGCACAATGCCGAACCGGAAACTTCAATTTCTTCAGGCGGTATTCAAACCCATAGCCCTGATGTATCGCGTTATTTAGTTCGCTATGGTACGATATGTGGATGGTATGAAAAGCTTCTTGAAAGAGAACGACTGTTTATTTAATTAATTAATTTAGTCGCAAATGAGAATAAATCATTAATTTTACCTTCTGAAGTGATAACTTTTAGAGATGCACTCATACCTGAATTTGTCCCTCATGAACACGACTAGTGCCACACTCCTCTCGGATAGTCGTGTGTACTGGTCTCCGTGTTCAGCTGTGTGCAACCTCAGATAAACGTAACAAACATTGCTGTTTTGAAATTTTTGATCGTTTTTACCGGTTTCTTTTGTTACCCGTTGTGCGTATGTCGAAAATCAGAAGAAATAGTTGTTGTGTGGTGAAAACACTATTGTATCAAGAACGTGAAGAATTCTTACATTTTTCGCCAAAAAATAGTGAAACCGATTCAAAGAAGGGCGAAGTCCCACAGAATCGGTGTGAAATTTTCAGTATATTGCGACACAGTACTGTACAGAATCAATTTGAAACTTAAAAAAATAGAAGTTTGGAACTATCATTTTCAGAATTTTTGTTGCGAATGTATTATTCAATTGTGTTATTTGTTTTTGTTACATGGTTTAACCACTAAAATATCAGTGATGGGCAAATCATCACTAAAACACGCATGGTTAATATTTGAAGCTAATATTCTTTAAGCTATTTAATGTCTACATTTTGAAAGTATATTTCTCTCTCCATACTTTCTAGCTCATGAAATTTCCCTAAATGTTCATCAAAATCATCGTAATAATGAAATAAATCTTTATCTCTTATGTTGATGGAACTGTGGTACAGACATGGTGATGGTGTTTGTGGTGGAGGTAAGTCTCATGACCGCTTGGACTATTGATTCGGACATCGCAGAAACAAGTTCTACACCGTTACCTCCGATTTCAATATTCCTCTCAGGTCTTAGAACGAGGTCGTAGCACGAAGTCGTTGCAGCTAGGAAAAAAAAACTCTCGCGATACCCGGACGTCAGTGTACACACTATAATGCTAATGTGGCAGTCGATGTTACCGACTGTAGTTTTGCATTTAGTAAATATGATTTTCGCCAGAAGCGATGAATAATAAATACTTGTCAAGTTAGGACATATTACGTAACTATATAACAACTACGTTTCAAACGCTGACTAAACCAGTCATTCACTGAGTACAATTCACATCCTACAATTTAAGACGAAGTATGTTGTTGATTTGATTTCTTGTAGTTAGATTCATACTTTTGGAATATATTATTGGAAACAATTTAAAAAAATGATAAATAAGAAAAACATTAATTTCTTCTTAAATCTCCGATCTCATCCTTGGAATTTTTAGGGCTTGTTACGTTAGTAAACTAGCCTTTCGAATGTACGTAGCATACTTCGTGCATTCACAATAGCAGTATAAATGTTTATTGTTTGTAAAATTATTAGAATTTTACAAATCATATAATTACTTATGTTTGTAATTTTATTATGTATGACTGATGGAAAATATTGACAATCATAAACCAAAACATTGGAATACTAAAACCATTGCATTTACGTATGACATGTTTCTTACAGCTCGTCAATTTTTGATTATATTTTTATTGTTCATTTGACTTTAAAGTTGTAAAGATTTATCCTAATAAGAGATCTTATTCGGGAAAATCTTCATCTCTAAATATAATATATTTTCAATAATTACATAGCTGGCCACATCTGTTGTAAAATATATGTGATTTTTATCAATTTCGTCGACAGTTTAAACATACCTTGTACTTATGGAATGGTAAATAATAGTCACTAACTTGAGACTCTGTAAGTACATACAGTGTTTGTAAAAAGAACAACTGACACCAATATTGTTGTCTTTCAAAAACATTGTTTTTAATTCATCAAAGAAAACGGACAAATTGTAAACAACTCCAAGAATCTGTATTCTCGAATGAATCCATCCAATCAGCATTGCAAGAACTGCCTTGAAATATGAAAAATAATTATTGTATACGAATTTGAAGAAGTCTGGAGTAATAAACATTTTAGGTATTAGGAGTACTTCATGTTAAAACAATTTAGTATGTCTTACGATTAAGCTATAACGTGTCCGTTGTATTCGTTTTTGTATCTATGTCACCTCTCTTGTCACTTTCTCTCTCTCTTCTTATCAACATTCTTACGCCGGGCGATGGAAGGTGCCGTCCTATTTCTGAAACTGATAACTCGCAGCTTAAAGACTTTCCTCAAGGAATTATCTTTCTTAAATAGGACCTATGCTAAGAACACCGTTTTATTCAGCAGTGCGTTCCTTTAAAAAAAGTAATGGAGTCTGTGTGACTCTGAGATAGTACTTCCCGAGGAACATAAAGTGCTTTTAATGTTAACAAAGTGTTTTATTTAATTTTGTAGAATTAACACTAATTTAGATCCTTTTTAGAAACTATGTAAACGTAAGTAAAGTTCACACCATCAGTAATCGAGGGATTGTAGTCACATTGTTGCACTCATGCATCAGTTGACCTCGTCTGCCCGTTCTCCAGTTACTAATAAAAGTTTGCTAGTTTAGACGTGTTGACATGGTTGTGATTGAGAAATTTTAATTGTAGATTTATGTAAATTATAAAACATATTTCATTGTACCAGTATAGAAATTAAATGGCAGTACTTTCTAATAATTCAGGGATGTAGTAGATTTAAACTAGTGGTAGGCTGGTAGTAGGTAACTACTTTCATGCATTTTTGACAATTTACACAGTTCACCAAAAATTAGACCCACGTCACTCTTTTTTAAGCGTTTTGAAGCATTTTAAAGCGTCCCCGTGAAAAAGTTTGAGAAAATGTGTTCCTACAAATGGTTGAAGACCCATAATTTCAATTCCAAATTACTCCAAAACTACTCGTTCTTACAAAAAAATTTACATGAATTTCTTTAAAGGGCTGACTTTTTGTATTTGGCTTTATCTAGGATAAAAATCTCCACCTTCAATTTTGTAGTTTTGAAATGGTAACTTTTTCAATTTTCAAAAATACGGAGAGGTCGCTGAAAATGGGACTAGCACCTATTTACTTTCTCGTATACGTACGTATATACAAAGTAACACACCTAGTATAGAGAAAACAGAAGTAAATATTTGTCCACTGATACATACTCTTTCCGTTATTCGCAAATACTTCGAAAGCAATGCGTAAATTCACCAAAAATATATTAAAGGTCTCTGTAGGCCCCTAATTCCCTTCTAAATGCAATTTGATTATTTCTAATAACGCCTTAAGACTTTGAGTGAGAGAAGGTGATGACGTTTATTAGACCCTCCCTTCAAACCATAGATTTAAGAGGTTTTCTCGATTTATTGAAAATAATTACTACATTTATAATGTACCCTATCACCACATCTACAGTAGTATTACCTTGATGGCTATACTTGTACATTTTTTATTTCATCTTAAGAACTAAGAAATTATTTTAAAAATACTTAAGAGGGTAAAATCTGAAATTGCCTCTCCTCCTCCGAAATATCTGCCCTTGGTCCTCCCTTGATCCGCTCTTGGAGCTCCAAAACCTAGACATTGGTTGACTCAAAAATGCTTCTTCGGCGATGCGAAGTTCTGCGAATATTCAAAATCGGGAAATGGGGCTCAGAGCATCAATTGATGTCATTACAGTGCTTCTGACCGGGAGGTCCTAGGTTCGAGTCCCGAATGTGGCAGGATTTTCGACACTGGGTAGACAGCTAGGTTGCGAACAGTCGCTATTTGGAGGAGAATTCTAGCGGCCGGCTGATCTGATCGTGGTTTATGCGATCAACACTAGGCGAATGCCGGAGCAGTACCCTAACAAACGGGCCACAGACAGCACTCGATCATTCCTTCCCATTCCTATCCTATCTCTTACTTACACTTCATTTACACAACACTACCACTTATGACGGGAGACCGGTCGAGAGCTTGGAGCTTGTCCTGACTGGGTGATGCTACGCTGGTGGAAGATACCTGGTTGGGGAAAACCCCGCTAGCTGACGGTAGGTTGGCGCCGGATCTCGCTATCCAGGGGGGAAATATCATCGCCACCACCCGAGCAGAAAACATACACTACACTTACGCGACTAATGACCTTATTCGTTGGCGCGCCTTGAATCACTAATCAATCAAAATTTAAAAAAGGCAGACGAGCCTGAAGGAGCAAAAGTGTCAGAACGGGAAATACGTCGCCGAAAAGAAGGGGGCGGAGACAAATTAGACAACTTACAGCCGACCTTGAGCCGCTTAATTTTCTGCCCTTAGTACAGCCACGTGCGCCGCGCCGCGCCTCGCCTGACCTCTTCCCGCCGCAGCACCCGCCGCGATATATTTTTACCGCCCGCTCGCGGTAATTCGTACTCTTAATTGCGCAAAGTTTCGGCGCGCGCGTTTGAATAATCTGCTCATCATTGCGTGTTGCGCTCCCGGACAGTCGGGAGCTCGGGGAAAGGCGGGGAGGGGGGAAAATTTTTTGCAAGAGAAGGCACCGCCGTCGCCGCACTATAGACCGGATTGAAAAAAGGCGGTCAAAAATAAAAGATTCGCTATTAAGTTTTAGTTTGTTGTTGCACCTAGTAAGTATAAATATGAGAGTATCAAAGAACCCAGATGAAGATTTCTTTTTGATAAATATAATTAAAATTAATGAGAAGCTAGATATTTTAGCAGAAATAACTATTATTGAGAAATGTCTCCAAAATTCTGAACAATAATATCCTTTCTCCAACACCACCACCCTACACCGTCACCCTACACCGTCACTCACCTTTACCGTCACCTATCACCGTCACCTTTAACCGTCACATTATACGCCACCTACACCGTCCTTACACCGTCACCTACACCGTCACCCTACACCTACCCTACACCTTCACCTACACGTCACCTACACGCACCTACATAACCAATACATCACCCCCACGCCTACACCCCACCCTACACCCCCACCCCACAATCACTCCATAATAATCCTACACCCACACCTCACCCTACATCACTACGCTAACACCGTTCACCAGTACACCTCCATCTACCTCACCCTCCCTCCACCCTTATCTCCACCTCATGCCACCCTACACCCCACCTACATCGCACCCTACACCACCACCCTACCACCACTACCCACCCCCTACCACCCCTACCACACCCTCACACCACCTCACACCACACCTACACAACTACACACACCCTACACAAACCCACACCCCCTTACCCCACCCTACAGCCACCCTAAGCCCACCTAACCACCTCCCCACCCTAACCCCCACCTACACCCCACCTACACCCCCCTCACCCCCACCACCCCACCTACACCCACCCTTAACCCACCACCTAAACCCCCACCTCACCACCCTACCCCCCCTACACCCCACCACACCCCACCCTACACCCACCTACACCCCACCTTACACCCCACCCATCCCCCACCCTCACCCCACCCTACAGCCCCACCTACACCCCGCCCTACATAATTCCCTCACACACACCGTTCACCCTACATTCACTTCGCTTCACTTACCAAACCTCATCCACCTCCACCTCCCGCTCCAATATTCCACCTGCACGCCACCCTACCCCACCCTACACCCCCCCCCTACACTCACCTTAACCAGCACCTACACCACCCCTACATCCACACCACACACCACCCTACACATCACCTACACACCACCCTCCCCCACCCTACCACCGCCAGCTGACCCGCATCCCTACAGCCACCCTAACTCCACTATCCCCCCACCTGTCAGTCGCACCTCCAATTCTAGTGCGCCTCTGCAGCTGAGCGGTGTTTCGTGTTGAGCCCTAACGACGCCGCCGGCCGGCGCCGTCTCGTGTCGTGAGCGCGCGCAATGTTCCTTATCCGGATTTCGTATCTCGATGCGTAACCAGCGGATCGAGCGCCTGCTGCGGATATGGTCCCGGTAAGGGAGCTCGGATCGAGTTACCCCGTCGCGTCGCGAGGGGGGAGGGATGCGATCCGAGCCAGGGCCCGCGCCGGCTTTCGGTGTCGAGTGCTTTTCGTAGAGACGTGGAATTCTTTTTTTGAAAAATTGAAGTGTATTAGGAAATGGCCTGCGTATTAATGTAGCTAGGTGAATGACGGATAGCAAGCTGATGCTTCTATCTAAAAATTAAAGATCCCCGAAACATTTTTGAGGGAGAAAACATTCATATTTTTTGAAATAAATACTTGAAAATTTTAATAAGGTTTTGAGTTATAAATGGTTCTTTATTTTTTATTTTTCACTTTGTCTATATTTCAGTATATTAGGAAGTTCATTAGTATTGGTATAGCATATATTGATGATTTGCCAACTCGTAGAGAAGAGCTACGTTCCGGTAAGTTTCGTATTAATGTTCAGGATTAATGTTATTTGACTCTCGAAATCTTCTTTCTCTATGTATGTTAGAATCTATGTCATATGTAGTGTACTTGTTACTAATCGTGGAATAATAATAGGTGCTCCTTGACTTCGGAGAGCAGCAAGTCCCGATGAATTCTTTGCATTTGATATTTTTCACGTCAATATAAGGACGATGATTTTTTTTCAAACATTCAGAACACATGCCCAAACAAATATTACAGTACAGAGGGATGTGGTGTTTGTGAGTTTGTGAGTATGGAGGGAATTTTCATGATTTAATTCGTAATGTTACTTACACGTATATCTAGACATTTCCACGGCAGTCTCATTGTTGTATTATTTTATTAATCGTTGTTAGACGAAGTCGAGATCTTGGGTGACGTACGTAATACGGGTGAATGCTGTAGTTTAGGATGATTGTTTTTCATTTCGAGATATTGACGCCAATCAAACTGTGGTTTTAAGTGTAACAAAGATTCTAAACGTTCAAAATATGAGTTAGATATGTAAACATATATTACATATACATATATTTTAATTTACTTGAAATAAAAGTGTATCGACGATGATTTAAAACTTAAATGAGGGTTGTTGTATTGTTTAGTTCGTGGGACGTTCTACAATTGCTGCCTCAAGGTTATGTATTTAATACGCTCGAGCGCATATTATGTTTACGTACGTTGACAACAGGTCTATTACATATAGTATTTTGAACAAACCTTATTATGTTATTTGGCAGGGCTAAAAGTTTTACTTCAATAGGTCTAATTGCCTTACATAAATATTACGATGAGGAGTGATT